GGTTAATGAAAATAATTAATCATGTTCTTGATACATCAAGCTTGTCAATTGGTGGGCTCCTGGGTCTTTACTGAGGCCCTGAACAACTGTGCCATCATAAACTGTGCCTTTCCAAAGCCACAAAGTAGCAACCAATATACCATCTCTTTCTTCACATTGAAAGGTACAAGTGTGTGGCTGCTTTAAGATGATCCACCTTGAAGAAAGTCTCTTCCCAGACACTTTATTTTTTCCAGCAGACACTATTGTAAAGTCATTGCCTGTATTTATGCTCTGTACTCTATGTGTAGCGCTCACCCCTGCAAGGGCTGCTAAATTTGTCCTAGGTTCTTCCCCAAAATAGGTGCAATGGCAGCCAGGCACACATCAAAAGCCACTCCTCTGGCTCAATAAACTGTCTAGGCATTGCCTTTTAAGATTTATTGCTGATTAACCTTGATGGGGCATAGGGAGCTGTGAGATACTCCATGGAAACTAAGCAGTAGATTGGTTTATACTCTTCACTGACACACTACTCAGAACATCTCCTCCAGAAGTAGCCCAGAAATTGGACTGCACCAGGACACCTTTAGTAATGTCCCAGACCAGGCAAGCACTAGCATTAGTAGGTTAGTAATATCAGCAGCAACAGTCGCTAGGATCTCTTTGTTCAGGCCTGTACTCACAATGTCCTTGGAGCTGTCTGCCACCCAACATCCACAGGTCTGTACTTACAATGTCCTTGGAGCTGTCTGCCACTCAGCATCCAAAGACCTCTACTCACAATGTCCTTGGGCAGTCCCAAACATTCTCAGAAGAGCAGGCCCCCCAGCTCTAGCATGGGTTGGACCTTGATGAACATATGCAGAACCTGGGCTGCCTGGAAGGACAACCTCTCCTTCTGGACAAAAACAGGGCAGCTCCAGGCTTAAGACTATTTATGTTCACTCCCAAACACCATCTGGGCACCCTTCCTCAGGGATTGGCTGAGAAAACATAAATATTCAGCTGCCAATTTGTTCCATCCAACCCACTACATTCTAGAAATCTCCAAAAGGCAAACAATCAAACATGCAGTCAGTGAAACCCAGAAGAGTCCAAAGGAATCGCAAGATGCTCAACTGATTACAGGAGAGTCACAAGAACCACATTTATCTAACCTAACTTGCAACCTATCTAGGAGGGTGCTACATATGTATTTGCACAGTCTTTCTTTTACTGTGCAATACAGTCTCCTGATGAGATACATAAATCACTAAAGATACTGCAATACTGTATGGTAGCAAAAAATATAATTCTGCTGCCCATGGAAATTGCTTGTGAAGACTATGTGACACTTAGAATGCAGCAGTCAGCTCTCCTGAGGCATACAAAAGAAACAGGTAGAATCCACTCCAACATCCCTGTGCTGACCTTTAGGTATTGAGTGAACAGTAATCTAACTTCAGAATCAAACCCCCCTAAAGCGGAACTTCACCTAAAAAGGAAAGTTCCACTTATTCTCCTTCTCCCCCCTCTCTCCTAGGAGATCCAAGTGAAAGTTTGCTCCCTGCCCATAACCTCCTGGGACACGTCACGGGTCTCGGGAGGCTGCGTGACCACTCAGCGTGGTGCAGCTTGCGCATGCACAGTGGAGATCCAGCTGTGAAGCCGCAGGAAGTCACAGCCAGCTTCCCACAGTCAACACAGTGGCGCAGGGAACACAAAGACTGGCAATTTATCAGCCCTGGTGAAGCCATCACTGGATCCTTGGGCTGGTAAGTGTCTTTTTCTTAAAAGTCAGTAGCTACAGTATTTCATTTCTTTTAAATCTAATTGAAGCTCCTCTTAATTCTCTCTCAGCCACCATCTTCTTGAAGGTTTCCATTCGAAAATGTCAGTTTTTGCAAAGTGAAGCAGTTCTATTGCACATCTACACAACAGGTAGTATTGCAAATGTCTATGAGGTGGCTACATCTGTATTTAGTAAGAATCTTTCTCCTAGCAGATATAAAACCCCAAAACAGGTCTGTATTCATGAATACATCAATAAATGTATTTTATAAATGCGACTAGTGTAAGTAGCTGAACTGGTGTCAGCCTTTTGCAATCTCCCGTACAGCAGCACTGGGAGAGAAGGGACAGGACTGGGAGCCAATTAGATGTGCTGACAAGGAATTTGATGATAGGAGTAGAGAGCATAGGGGTGACCACGTTTGTGTGCAGCTGCTCTTTCACTGTCCAATCAGCAAGGAGGGGGTGGGGAAATGACATGTATTCCTTATCCTACACCAGCCTTTCTCAACCCTTTCAATGCAGGGAAACCCTTGGAACCCTTTCCAGTCTCATAGAACCCCTGCTAAAAATGACCATATCTACAACTCATGATACATTAGTGTGATGGTCATTGGGAAGAATGCTCCTTAAATTGGTGGACATGGGAAGAATTAACCCCTTACAGATAGCTAAAAAGATCATTGGTGTCAGTGGAAACTTATCTGAGAGGAAGAATTTGCTCATTGCTCAAGGAAGCCCTAGCAACCTCTGGAGGAACCTTAGGGTTCCATGGAACCCTGGTTGAGAAATCCTGTCCTATACAGTGATGTCACCGGCCTGGCTAAGCTGTCTGGCAGGGATGTGAAATTTTGAAGACTAGACAGAAGTACAAATCTATTGGCGTGTCTGTTACATGTATGTCATCTGTGTACGTAGCTGTTTGCATGAGGTTTGTTTTTAAGGTGATAATTGCAAATGAAAAAAGGTGGAGGTGTGTACCACAAGTACATGGGAAGAATTAACCCCTTACAGATAGCTAAAAAGATCATTGGTGTTGGTGGAAACTTATCTGAGAGGAAGAATTTGCTCATTGCTCAAGGAAGCCCTAGCAACCTCTGGAGTAACCCTAGGGTTCCATGGAACCCTGGTTGAGAAATCCTGTCCTATACAAACAGTGATGTCACCGGCCTGGCTAAGCTGTCTGACAGGGATGTGAAATTTTGAAGACTAGACAGAAGTACAAATCTATTGGCGTGTCTGTTACATGTATGTCATCTGTGTACTTAGCTGTTTGCGTGGGGTTTGGCTTTAAGGTGATAATTGCAAAAGAAAAAAGGTGGAGGTGTGTACCACAAGTATATGAAAAAATAAAAGTCACTAACAGAGAACAGAGCTTGTGATTTATAAAATTGCTCTGCTGGAACAATAGCCTCAGCAAATTTTTACCCTGAGAAAGTGATGGATCTGACATCTTATTTTCTAAAAGCATCGAGCCAGCTGCTTCTAATTAGGCAATAGTTGTTTTAGCTCCTGACGACTGTGCTATTATCCAAAGATCATACAACACTAGTGCTACAAGTCATTAAGTATTTGATATCTACTTCCAGAATTTTAACCACTGATTGTACCGGCTGGTATATTTTGCTTTTCTTTTTTTTTTTTTTTTTTTTTCAGAAAGTTAGATGGCGATCCTCCGCATAGGTCCATCGCACAGGTGTTTCTGAAAAGGAGATGGAAGATAAATCACACTTGACGGCAGAGTTGGCAGCCTGTGAAACAAAGGTCAAGAGTTGAATTAGCGCAGGAATTAACCTCTAGAATTATCGTGAGGGGTGGTCCCTTTCGATCAGCTCTTAAGCACATTTCTGAGTCATTTTAAGCCAGCAGCTTTAAGTACTTTTAATTCAATACCTTTCATGAGTCTGATTCTGGTAGACAGAGCTTAAACATATATGGCCAAAAGTGTTTGCGGCTCTTGAAGTACATGGTAAAATTACAGGGCAATGCAGAGCACTGTTCTAGAATATCAAAGCCCTCAGACATTCCTCTGTCTGCCAGTCCCATCATAAGTAACAATGTCACCAAATATTACATTAGAACCCCCATTATACTGTATGTCCCCCCATTCTGAGTGATCCCACAATTTACGTCTATAAGTAATGAAGTGTCGAAAAGTTCACAGTCGAAAGCTAGCCCAATCAGCTCTTGAGGAACCATTTGCCCAGTTTTTTATTGCTGATAGAATTTTCATCTTCATTCTTCATGGTTTACTTTTTAATTCAAAAAAAGTAGGAATGCGCATAGCAAGAGAAGCAAAAGAATATAGGCCTCGTGATAAGATCACAACAGCCCATATGGCCTTAAAGTGGTAGTAAAGTCCCCTATCTTAAAGTGTATCTACAAGAAAGCTTACAATCAGGCATACCTGAAGGTACAATGAATATTTCCTAAAAGTGCACTAGTTAGGAGATATTTACACCGGCAATAGCCGATCACGTCGCCCACGCATGCGCTGTGACGCTCTATATGCAGGGCACACAGTGCATGAAGAGTGCAATGCAACTGCTGGGACTCCTACGCACATATGTGGGAGTGATGTCATTGCAGCCCTGGCCATTCAAACGGCCAAGGCCAGAGAACTCAGAAAGAAGACTGGGTGAAGATAGAAGCGCCAAGGGATCCATCACAGTTGTGCACTGGAGGGCTCTGTGTGCAGGTAAGTGAGTCATAATGTGCTAGTATGTGGGGCATACTAGCACGATATGGGATAAACTGGTGAGGGACTCTTTTTTTTTTAGCTGTTTACTACTGCTTTAACCTCCTCGGTGGTATAATTATTTCCGTTTTTTTGTGCTGAAAGCGGTACCATTTTTTTGCATGGAAATATGTAGTTTTTTTATTGTAGGCTGTAATTTTTAGGAATAACTCACTGAAATCTGTACGAACAAGAGTCTAGTAAACATCCCGGGTATGATAAAATTTGAAACACGAAATCATAAATTATAATTTAATAAATAATCATAAAAAATAATATAATAATAAATTTAATTCAATAATATAATCAAACCAAAAACACTGAAATTTGAAATACAGAGCAAAGTCGCAAAATCGTTTTCAGTGTCTGATGACGAATTTCCCCACGAATCATTATTACTCAATTCTGCAAGTGGTTCTGATTTACTATCGCTGTTCTCTAGTTGGTCTAAAACCGCTTTTGATGTAAAGTGACGCTTTTCGGACACCATGGACTTTTCTAATTTTCCAGGCAGAAAGAACAGTCAAAATGCAGGCAGGGCACAGGACAAATCAGTAGGGACAAAATGTATGTGAAATGCATTGAAACAGCAATGTTTTACTATGTAATAATCATTTTAAAAAAATGACATTTTTAAAAAATTTCAAATTTGCCGCTGGTTCCGGCGCCCATACGTCCCGAAGTCACAGGGACCGAAACACGGAAGCCGGATGCCGGCATCGGCCGGAGGAGATAGCCAAGGATGCTGCAGGGGACACATCGTGGGAGCGAAGGACAAAGTAAGTGCTGCAGGGACTCCCTGAGCAACGCCGCATGGTAAGCCCGAGTGTAGCTCGGGGTTACCGCTTTTGGTACTGAAATTTTACCCCGAGCTACACTCGGGAATACCGCCAGGGAGGTTAAGCACTGGGCAGGTAAAACAAGAAGACAGTGATAAAAAATAGCCTCATAACCCAACATAAACGTATATGGAAAGATATTTAATTAAAAAAAGGACAAAAACAAAAAGTGTCACAGCTTGTACAATGAATGACTAATTGTTATCTTCTGTGCAGAGATGTGCACGACAAAAAAATTATTTTGTTTCAGGTTCATTTGTTAAGTAAATAATTTTGTTTAGTCATATTCAATATGCTAGAATGAATTGTTTTTTGCAATTTGTTGTTCTGAATCAATTTGTATTTTCAGAAGTTATTAAAAAGATTGGCTATATTTGTTTTAATGTGTTAATTCCATATTTTGGGGGATTACCTATGCACTCTGAGTCATCCTTGCTAGTCCAACCCACAAAGAGAAATGGAATGATCTGATTGGACAATATCGACTCGAGTCATGTGCACCCAAAAGTAATGAATAGAGGGATTTTGGATTCATTTGTTATGGTATGATTCAGAGATTCTGCTGGACCTGTTCCATTCAATCCAAATACAATAAGTAAGAATTATCATCTTATTTCACATTTGTATTTATTGCAGTATGTTTCTGTCTCATATGTAATGCATTGTTTTTAAAATAATAATGAAAAATGTTAATGCAAAATAAAAAGGAATAGGATCTGAATCAATCTGGATCATTCATTATGTTGTTACATTATTTAAGATGCTTCAAACAGTAATATGGTGGACATGGTGTGCAGAGAAATGCACTCACCAGCCACTTTATTAGGTACACCTTGTTAGTGCCAAGAAAATATCTCCCACACCATTACACCACCATCCTGAACCATTGATACAAGGCAGGCTGGATCCATGCTTTCATGTTGTTTACAACAAATTCTGACCCTACCATCTGAATGTCACAGCAACCACACTGCCCATTCTCCTCTGACCTCTGACATCAACAAGGCATTTCATCCACACAACTGCCGATCACTCGATATTTTCTCTTTTTCGGACGATTCTAGAGATAGTTGTGTCGAACAATCCCAGTAGATCAGCAGTTTTTGAAATACTCAGACCAGCCCATCTGGCACCAACAACCATGCCACGTTCAAATTAATTTAAATCCCCTTTCTTCCCCATTCTGATGCTTGGTTTGAACTTTAGCAAGTCATTTTCACCATGTCTAGATGCCTAAGTGCATTGAGTTGCTGCCATGTGATTGGCTGATTAGCAATTTGTGTTATGAAGCCTAATAAAGTGGCCAGTGAGTGTAATTAGCCTATTCCGGCCCTCTGGGACCACCCAAACTTTTAACTGAACCCTTTAGTCTCCCCCTCCAAGATTTGAAAAAGAGGAAATGCCTTGAAATATTTCATCTTGGAGATTCTACACTTAATCGCATTGAGGACCCTGCAAAATGGCTACCGGAGGACTTCCTGCCCATTGGTGATGCATTTCCTGTCCATTTATGACACACTGCCAGTCCAAAGCTGCACCTTTGGCATCTCTGTTGGATTGCTTGCGGCAACTTCCTCACATCACATACATCCTTATTTTGGATTGTGGACCTTGCTCTACCCAATGGTCGGATTATTTAGAAGAGTGTTTTCCATTTACAGTCCCACTGTGACGAGGATGCTGCCTTTTTGCTGCACACCACAGAAACCCTAGTAACAGCATTAACATTTGCATTAACATTGTCATTACAGTGTGGATTTCTTATTTATAGATTGCGGGTTTTTATTATTTTTAATCCAATTATTCTGATTCAATGAAGTGCATTTTTGGACATTTTTTGCAGCTGGACATTTTGTCACATTAATATATTAACATATTAATATACTGTATCACCATAACTACAGTGTACTCATGGCTCATGCATGCAGCTGAGCACTTTATGGGGCAACAGGGAGGGTTGATTTTAGGGTTACATAGAGGGTTAGTGTGAGGTTTGGTTCTGCAGGGAGGCTTAGTGTTAGGATTACAGAGGGCGTTAGCATGAGGTTTGGGGCAACAGGGAGGGTTGGTGTTAGGGTTACATGGAGGGTTTGTACGAGGTTTGGGACAGCAGGACAGGTTAGAATTATAGTTAGATGAAGGATTTGTTCGAGGTTTTGGTCTGAAGGGTTACATGAATGTTTAGTACAATGTTTGGGGCAGCAGAGAGGGTTAGGGTTAGGATTACATAGAGGTTTGGGACAGCAGGACAGGTTAGAATTATAGTTAGATGAAGGATTTGTTCGAGGTTTTGGTCTGAAGGGTTACATGAATGTTTAGTACAATGTTTGGGGCAGCAGAGAGGGTTAGGGTTAGGATTACATAGAGGTTTGGGACAGCAGGACAGGTTAGAATTATGGTTAGATGAAGGATTTGTTCGAGGTTTTGGTCTGCAGGGAGGGTCATTGTTAGGGTTACATGAATGGTTGGTATGACATTTGGGGAAGCAAAGAGGGTTAGTGTTAGGATTACAGGGAGAGTTATTATGAGGTTTGGGGTAATGGGAGGTTGGTGTTAGGGTTACACGAAGGGTTTATATGAGGTTTTGGCCTTCAGGGGAGAGTTAGTGTAAGGGTTAAAGTCAGGGTTAGTGTTAGGATTACAGAAGGGTTAATGTTGGAATTACAAGAAGGACTAGTGTTAAGGGTTTTGGAGTAGGACATTATTCTCAAAGCTTGGAACTCTAAGCCAAAAAAGAAAAAAAACGGTACTGGGTTTTTGGCTCTGAAAGCTACTGTATCAAACTTTGGAACTTGAAGGGGAAGTAGCATAACAAAAAGGATTGTCCAACAAGGATCCAAAGGTCCCCTGGAAGCTTTATTAAAAGCCTCAGAAATCTGGCTGCATTGGACTTCCTTGAGTTCAGATTAAGATAAATGGGATGAACTTTGTAACCTAACTTTTATGACTGAGTTTGTTTGTTGCCTGAAATTGCTGTTATAGTCAATAAAGGTTACATCACTTCATCATGCTCAGATAAGCTGCACAAAAGTTTACATAGTGTAGCAAAAGTGAAAGTTAGAAAGAAAACTACATAACTAGCTAAAGAGCAAATGAAAAATGTGTTGCCATTAAGCTTAATCAGACAAGACAGAGCTAAAAGAAAAAGATTTTGCTATGTTGACACGCTCTAGATTATAGAAGCACTGACACCAACCCAGTGCCAAATTTCATCATATCAGGCATTCCGCTGATGCAATAGTCTTTACAATTAGCTTTGGGACACTGAATCCCAGCCCTGAGTTCAGTTGCTCAGAACATCCAGCTGGGGCTGCAGTGTTTGTGTGTGGTCAACTTTACTGCTGAACTGAAGAAGACAATACAAAATGAATTAAAGAGAAGCAGAAAAATCTTCCTCGAAGTAAAGTCTCCATTTCATAGGACTGCTGCAGATGTAGAAATCTGTGCAAATGACATCTGTTTCAATGTAATTTAGTGTCCTGCATCCCTTTTCTTTTACCTGCCAATAAGAACATAATTGTATTTCTCACATCACAAGACAAATGGACCAGGGGCGGACTGACCATTCGAGCACTCGGGTGCTGCCCGAGGGCCCGGGGTTAGTAGGGGGCCCCATGAGATGCTGGTACCTTTCATTGGCTTTTTCATAGGCTTTTTTGGGTGTGGGCGAGGACACAGGGGCCCCATGATCCCCTATTGCCCGGGGGCCCTATGAGTTGTCAGTCCGCTCCTGAAATGGACTGAATTCACGGGCTTTTCGCTGCTGTTCCAGAACCATTTCAATTTCAACAATTCTGCCCTTTCTACTACAGAAAAAAAATATTTAGTCAAAACATCTATACTGTGTCTCAAACTGTGGTCAGTGGACCACTGGTGGTCTGAACACATCTGCCAGGGATCATCTTCCTACACATACTGTTTTTACTAGAGGTAGGCAGGTGCAGGATTTATACTTATGCAGTTGCATTGCAGTGCATTGTAGAGGTACGTTTTTGATGCATGTCAAGTGAGATCCAGAGAGAGTAAATCGATGGAGAAGTCTGCATGACTAAGGTAAGGTTAGAAAAGGGTTAAAATGTGAGTTCAATGTTGAGGGATTGTAGATCCCACCTAATTAAAGACCAGGGGCGGACTGACAACTCATGCGGCTCCCGGGCAATAAGGAATCATGGGGCCCCTGTGTCCTTGCCCAAACTCAAAAAAGCCTATGAAAAAGGTACCAGGGGCATCTCATGGGGCCCCCTACTGACCCCGGGCCCTCGGAAAGTGCCCAAGTTTCCAAATGGTCAGTCCGCCCCTGTTAAAGACTAATGGTCAGATGGGCAGGATGGAGCTGCATGGGTTGTTCATGTAAAGGATACTGGGTATTCAGTTCAGTGAAGAGGAAGATCCCCGCCTACCAACTCTAGAATTGCAGTGCATTGTAGGTCAAAGGTTGTGGGGAGCTATAAATCATTTTTGGGGTAGGGGGTAATTTAATACAATAATTGTTACAAAACTGGGGGCTCCAGCTGGCATATGGCCACTTGGTTGGTTATTGGTGGTTCTCCCAGGAGCTACAGTGGGGATCGAAAGTTTGGGCACCCCAGCTAAAAATATGTATTAATGTGCATAAAGAAGCCAAGGAAAGATGGAAAAATCTCCAAAAGGCATCAAATTACAGATTAGACATTTTTATAATATGTCAACAAAAGTTAGATTTTATTTCCATCATTTACACTTTCAAAATAACAGAAAACAAAAAAATGGCGTTTGCAAAAGTTTGGGCACCCTGCAGAGTTAATATCCTGTACTGCCCCCTTTGGCAAGTATCACAGCTTGTAAACGCTTTTTGTAGCCAGCCAAGAGTCTTTCAATTCTTGTTTGAGGCATCTTTGCCCATTCTTCCTTACAAAAGTCTTCCAGTTCTTTGAGATTTCTGGGCTGTCTGTCACACACTGCTCTTTTAAGGTCTATCCATAGATTTTCAATTATGTTGAGGCCAAGAGATTGTGAAGGCCATGGCAAAACCTTCAGTTTACGCCTCTTGATGTAATCCCCTATGGATTTCGAGGTGTGTTTAGGATCATTATCCATTTGTAGAAGCCATCTTCTCTTTAACTTCAGCTTTTTCACAGATGGCATCAAGTTACCATCCAAAATTTGCTGAAATTTTATTGAATCCATTTTTCCTTCTACTC